TTCAAGGAATTTTACCTAACGTTCGCTGAACCTGTTCATGAAACAGAAGCGCTCCTCTTCCATATAAAATCCGTAATTTTCTTCCAGGAGCACCGCCACAAACCGTTTTTTCTTTCATTAACGGCACTTGAAGGATCGACAATCCAGGCAACTTTGTGTTCATAACAGCCTCTTCCAGGCGCATTCTAATTGATGCAACGTGTCTTTAATGAAGTCAGAATTCCTATCCTTCAAGGCGCTTTAGGTGCATGTTTTCAAGTATTAAAATCAACTGCTTTACTGTTAATTGGCGATTTACTGTTACCCCTTTTCTGTGAAAAAATGGTAAAAGCAACATGCAAGCGTCTGTTATTTTTCCCTAGCTCATCCTTCGCCTCCTCCAACATTGAAATTGGCTCCTTTCCGCATTTTCTTGTATATTTGGGCCGAATGCGAGCGTCGGTAAATTTAACCCCCCTTTCTAGTGAAATCGTTCAGTAGGAAGCGTTTTAACTCACTCCTTTTCTTCCTCCCTACCGTCTAATTTGACATCATCTTTCACCTATCCAGGCGGCATTCAACTGTTGCCATGGCCTGAATTGAACAAAAGCCCTAGTTGAACACTACAGTCGTGATTTTCGCTCTCATCTTCTTTTTTTCCTTGATTTGCAGATCAAGAACCGTGACACCCTCCTTCAGCCCATGGTAAGCCCTGTCGATTGCGGCTTTTTGTTTATACTCCCGCATAACTTTAGAATGAGATCCTGAAGTACTTCCTACAAGCCGTGGCGTTTCTCCTAGTCTACCTCTGCATCTGCCAATTTTTCCGACCATCCTTCTACTTAAGTAGGCCTTTGGGATTTGCTTTTCTTACCCCTTCTAGGTGAAGCGTTTGGAAAGTTTGAATTTTTCCACAAATGCTTCTACCTCATGTTCACGGGTTTCACTATGCGCCAACACTACTACTTCGCGTGGTCTGTTTGTAAGCACATAAAGTAGTGCCAACTGTTACTGCATGAGTAGTTTACTTTTCTCGGATAAATTCACACCTCTTTCAAACCAGGTGCACTCAGTTGCCTGGCGGCTGGTTTTGGGTTTCATGGATTTGACAAGAATGGAAAGCCCGATTACTCGCTGGTAAAAAGCTTCAACTTCATGGAGGCGGAGGTAAGTGGTCCCCGTGATAAACACACACACACACACACACAACCAATGAACCGGTGCTGATTGGTGAGGATAAACTCTTACTTGTTTTTAGTTCCCGCGGAGTATAAAGGAGCTGATGGATAATTGGAACCTGCAGACGTTGAGGTGGCTACGGATCACCATATTCGATCGAACGCCAAAGAGTATTGCGGTGTTTGCGGTGTTTTTTGTTTCTGTTCTGTGGCATGGGTTCTATCCCGGATACTACCTCTTCTTTGTGTCGATGGCTTGGTTTTCAGTGGTGAGATTGCTGAATTATTCCTGCCGTTGAATGGATTTGAGAGAGGAAAATTTCTTTAGGCACTCTTTTTCAAGTTAAGTTAGTCATTGTAAGAGCTTTTACCAATCACATTTTTGCGCTTGGCTATTGTTTACCAACACAGAATTGGCGGCACTTGATGCTACTCACTATTTATCAGTAGCACTCATATTGGAATGACCCTTTCGCATTAAAGATTGGTCGAATGATAAGGAAGCGCCTCCGACCCCGTATTCTTGAGTGGCTACCTGACACTAAGTGGGTTTGGACACCCGGTGGTCAACGCGAGGGCACGTCACGCGCCTATGACCTCATTACCCGTATAGTGACTTACTTTCTGGTCAATTATACGGCACTCGCTTTTGTCATCCTCTCCTTTCGTGACAGCATCGTTGCGTGGTCGTAAGTCTCCGTCTCTTTAGTGTTTAAGAACTGACGTGAAGTGGCTTTGTCACCTCACTTAGCGCCCAAATACTTCAGTTCCTCATTTTAAGTAGTTTCTTTGCCGGTGTAATTTATTTTTTCCCAAACCGCTTTCATAGCGTATATATTTTCATTCTAGCTGATTCTCTTGCTTACTTTTTGGTCATTTATTTGTATGAGTAGCCCATGATAATCCCTTTTCGCCCCATAACTTAGTATTGTTTCGTTTCCGAATTCTTTTCTAATTAAAAGGAGATTGTACCTATATGGATCGTCATTTCCCACTTTAGGCGTTTCGGCTACGCAGGCCATCTACTTTGCCTAGTAGCTCAACTACTAATGCTTACTTTGATGCCACCATCAAAGTCGACTCCGTTGTTGTCGGCATCAAGATCCAAAAAAGTGCTGTGAACTTCAACTGTCCGATCTCTCGCCACCAAGAAAACCACATATATATATCATCGTTGACAGCAATACATATCTAAAGCAAACTCCCTCCCTCTCTCTTGTTAATTTCTCTTTCCTTCATCCTTCTTTTCCATGTATGTTGTATGGCCCCGAG